GTACTTCATGATAAATTCAACCAGAATACTACATTAGTTTTTAAAAATTCTCCATTCCAAGAAATATACATGAGTCACTAAGTCAGAAGTTGACAGTAGCAACACTAGCACACTACTTTTTTAAAAAAGTGTACTCTTTGGTATGACTATTTCGCAACTCTAAAAAAGTTGCTTTGCAAATGTCCCAATTTTTGATTATTATTTTTATTGAAAATATAGTCCCTTTTAAATTAAATTCATTGTTGTTGTGAATCTTGTGACTAACTCCCCCTGCCATTCTTTTCACAATGTTGTATTTACATTTTTCAGAATTTTGCAGTGACTGTAATTCAGGGAAGCCATTGTATAATATCCTTGTTGACCAAACAGATTTGTCATCAAGAACTTCAAGCATCCAAAACCTCAGACAACAAATGTGTCATTTCAAACTCATTTATTGTCTGAAGTTTTAAGATCAAAGTTCTGTCAGGTTATTTGAAGCTCAGTTCTCTACTCCATTCAGACCCTAGCCAAACACAGTGGAGTTGGAGGGGTTTGCAGGGAGATGTCTGTGACCCCCTGATCCAGAGCTACTTGGTTCTAGCATAAGTTAGTTACTCCTGTGCAGCTCAACTTACACCGCTAGTGTAAGTTTCCTCAGGGATCTTACGCTAGTGGAAGATTGGGAATAGTGGAGCTACCCCTTATGCCCAGGGTAGGGTCAAATACATATCTTACCTGTAAAGATAGCAGGTACAAAACTTTCAGATAGCAATGTTTTTTCAAGTTGGTATAATACAAAGTCTTCTCCAGCTCCCTGAGGTACACTACCAAGTAGAGGGAAATAGTAGCTCCACTCATGTTACTATTAATATTATCATTTACACTGCAGTAATGCCCAGACTTCTCAACCAAGTCATAGCCCCATTGTGCTAGGCATGGTACAAAGATAGTGTCAGATCCCCTGCTCATATAAATTAGGACAGCTCTACTGAAATCAACAGAACTATATTGACTTACACCAGCTCAGGTTCTGACCCATGTAGTGTAATTTCAGGTAAACAGCTAGTTTTCCTATGTTGCACTGAGTGTAGCATTACATGGTCACAGGATATTAAAATAGTTTGCTCTTCTTTTTTTGACAATCTCTTCACATGTACACTTATGTGTCTCTAAGGTTATGTCTACACTTCAAATAAACACCCCCTGGTTGGTCCATACCAGTTGGCTTGGGCTAAGGGGCTGTTTAATTGAGGTGTAGACATTCTGGCTTCAGTCAGCCTGAATGTCTACACCACAATTAAACAACCCCTCAGCCTGAGCCTTGTGAGCCCAAGTTGGCTGGCACAGGTCACCCGTGGTGTTTAATTACAGTGTAGACATATTCTAGTTTTTTGAACTATGCTGTGTTGCACAATTAAGCTGAACAATCTATGGCATACTGTACTGACCTTATCAGTTGAGATGTAGGTATATTTGCAAAACTGCTTTGTAGTTATTGGTTTTAAGGTCAGAAGGGACCCTGGTGATCATCTAGTCTGACACAGGCCAACAGATTGGAGAGAGCTGGATTTCTACCAATCCAGTTACCAAAGAGCAAAAGCAAAACTTGAGTGAACAGGCGGGACCCTGTTGCCTACAGTTCTAATATTCCTTTAAAAACCTCCAATTCTTATTGATAAACAGGCCCAAGTTCTCATGTACACTGATGTCCCTTTATACTGCTCTGGCCCCTCAGTGCTGACATGAAGTGCTTTGCTGGATTGGGCTCTAATATTTTTATTTATGATTAATGTGTAGTGGTCAAACAATGGGAAGAAAGAAAAACAAGGCCTCTTGCTACTGAGTAGCAATTCTTGAGTGTTTGTATATGTAAGGATTCAAAAGATCAGGCTGTTATGGATTTGTCTTGATATACATATTCCCCTAGAGTAGAGAATCCTCACTTTCATCTGCTGGGGCAAAGGAGGAAAGTTTGAATATTTTTCTACAGTGGGTTTAACCAAAAGTGTATATATAAGCTTTCAAGCATGGATCTTGTATGAATAAAGTAAAGGCTTTGACCCAAAAATGTTAGCGGTTGGGTACCATAGCACTACACTTAATATATTGTCCGAGGGGTCAAAATTAACTACGGGGGAAGTGGTGAAGTAAATGAGATTCATTTTGGTTCAGTACTGTAGATTTTCTGCATCACATGCCTGCCTTTGCTGGAAATCTTTAGACTAGAACAGTGGTGCCCAACCTTATTACACAGGAGGGCCACATAAACCTAAGCACAACCTCGTGTGGGCCAAACAGATTCTATATATGTTAATAAGATTTAAAGTCATCTGTATTAATTTTATATTTTAAGTTCAGCTTGTTTTGTATGTATGGGTTGTTTCTATGTACAGTATTGTCTGTTTACATCATTTTAGTTTACACTAGTTGTAAACACAATGACAAAATGCTAATGAATTGGGCATTAGTGTATTGTAGTGAAGCAGGCAGTGGGCCTTATGAAATGTCCAGGCGTGCCCACCAGAGCAAGAAACTATAATAGTTGCAGAACAGGTCTGCTTTTTAGCATAGTTAAAGACCATATCTTCTTCTATACTAAGTTCTACACTGATAGCGGGCAGCTACTTTCAAAAGACAAGAATCTTCTCTCTAGATTTTTTCAGTGTATGTAGTCATAGATCTTTTTATTAAAGGAAAGAACATTTTTAAAAGTGAAAATGAAAACCAGTTTGTCCTTTCCCAGGGGGGAGGGATAGCTCAGTGGTTTGAGCATTGGTCTGCTAACCCTAGAGTTGTGAGTTCAATCCTTGAGGGGGCTGCTTAGGGATCTGACACAAAATGTCCCATGCATTTGGTCACTGTGGAGACCATATAAAACTACACCATAATAAAACTAGAGGTGATTGAGAGGTCCAAATTATAATGGAGAGGAGAAATATTCAGCAATATCACTAGAAAACAGGACTCAATTTTATAAACAGACCAGCTCACTTCAATGTAATGGTCTAAATGAAAAACAAAATATATCTGTTGCTTGAATAGGCTCTAGTCCCGCAACTGACAGTGAGTGGGCAGATTGCTGAATCTATGCAGGAGCCCCACAAAAGGCAGGTTCTGTACACGTGCAGAAGCCTCCCTGCTTGACATCAATTGCAGAGTCAGGGCCTTATATTAGTCTCTTATTTCACTGTTACCTTATTATGGTGGATGTGGATACACAACTTCAAGAGACTAATATAGCTTCTTTTTAGGCATATTCTTGGGAGCAAAGAGAAGTTTGCTGGAATATGAAAAGAAGACTACAGTGAATAAATGGACTAGACCTAACTGTAAAATAGGGCATTGTTGTTCGTTTTCTGACATCCTGCCTAGTGCTGGCCAAAATTGCAACCCTTTCTTTCAATACACTTTCAAGTGTATTGGGGCAGGGGAGGGAAGAGGAGGGAAATGAGAGACAGACTCGCAACTAACTTGACAGTTTGACTGTACAATTACAGAGCATGAAGGTAAAAAACCCCTCTAACCTCATAATGCACAGGTGTGATAGGGAAGTGGTTTTCAACCAGGGGTACGCGTACCCTTGGGTACACAGAGGTCTTCCAGGGGGTACATTAACTCCTCTAGATATTTGCCTAGTTTTACAACACTCCACCTAAAAAGCACTAGTGAGGTCAGTCAAAACTAAAATTTCATACAGACAATGACTTGTTCATACTGCACATAAGAATGGCCAGACCATTGGTCCATCTAGCCCAGTATCCTGTCTTCTGACAGTGGCCAATTCCAGGTGCCCCAAATGGAATGAACAAAACAGGTAATCATCAAGTGATCCATCCCCTGTCTCCCATTCCCAGCTTCTGGCAAACAGAGGCTAGGGACACCATCCCTGCCCATTCTGGCTTATAGCCATTGATGGACCTGTCCTCCATGAACTTTAGTTCTTTTTTTAACCCTGTTATAGTCTTGGCCTTCACAACATCCTTTGGCAAGGAGTTCCACAGGTTGACTACGTTGTGTGAAAAAATATTTATATTCCAATTGATTTATTTTATACTTCTATGCTAAAAATGAGAATGTAAGTAATATTTCAGTAATAGTGTACCGTGACACTTTTGTATTTTGATGTCCGATTGTGTAAGCAAGTGGTTTTTAAGGGAGGTGAAACTTGGGGGTACATGAGACAAATCAGACTCCTGAAAGAGGTACAGTAGTCTGGAAAGCTTGAGAGCCAATTGAGAGAGAGAATCGGATGTTCCAAGAGCCAGAGCAGGGCACAAGAGAGGGAGAAACGGAGACAATAGTTGCAGCAGTGCCCTAGGCAGCCAGGAGGGGGTGTATAGGGGCAGCAACTTTACCACACATTTATTATAAAATAAACTCAATATCACCAATTTCTTCTAACAGTGAATGTCTCATACTGTGTTTATAACTTCATACAACCCCCCACCAACCACCTTAAAAACTTTAGGTTGCAAAGCTAAGCGCTCAAAACTCAGGAAATTCCTGGATTAAGGTTGTCTTTGCATCATCACATGCTGTTTCTTCCACATAGCCCCTGGCCTTATTCAGAGTACAAGCTTGATGATTAAGGGATACAGGGTTGCAATGTTGCCCAGTTTTGTAATATCTGAGAATGTATTTAAACTCCTAGCTACTGGAGCCGATTCACTAGGTGAGAATCTCAACTTACTGGTGTGTTCAAATGAAAGTCCCTAGCCCTTATGGCTGTGGAGGAAAGCTTGAAAACAAAAGCTGAGTGCAACCTCGAGGCTCAGCAACCTGCAGCCAAATAAATAAATAAACCCCAATCTGTTTTAAGAGTCATATCTCATGATTTCTGGGAGTCTGCTGCATGATTTCCTGCCCATTTGCGGTTGGCACTAGTGGGTTGTGGGTCACTGTTGTCTGCTGCGAGCCCTGAGGAGCAAAGACTAGCTGTAGTACCGTACAGTGCATGCTAGGCACGCCCCCTCTGTCCCCTGGGCCAGGGCTGAGAGAGCGGGGAGGGCATAGTCCTTCCACCAGCCAGGGGATAAGGGAGGATTCTCAGCTGGCCACTTCCACCCGCTAGGCAGCTGAGCACTGGGCCCACTTAGCTTGGGTGCGCACAAAGGAGGGCTGGGTGTCAGGACTAAGTACCGGCTTTCCGGGGGGCGGCAGTGACCCTTCCACGCTTCTCCTTGTACTGCTCAGTTGGGAAGCAGCGCTGGGGCAGGGAAGCCCTTCCAGCCCCTGCCTACCCCTCTCCTTCCCCCTTCCTGCAGCTCTCTCCTTCTTCTCGCCTGCTGCTGTCGGCCCCGCCGCGCCTATCGCCTTTCCCCCCCCTCGGCGGGGTCTGTCAGGCCTGGGTCGCCCCCCCCCCCTTCGCTTGCTGTGGGCAGCAGCAGCGGCAGGGTTAACGCTGAGGAATGCAGCGGCGAGGAATGTGCATGCAGATGAGATGGATGTTAATCTCATGCTAATGAGCAGCGGCGGCGACTGCTGCCCGGGGCTGAGCCGGGCTCCCCGTTCTGAACCCAGACAGTGGCTGGGCTCAGCCCGGAACCCTGCCCTGGTGCTGCTGGAGCAGGCGGCGGCAGCCTAGACATGGTGGATTGAACCCGAGCAGGGGAGGAGGGTTTCCTGAGTGATTGCAAGAGACTCTCTGCTTCCCCCCGCCCCAGGCCCAGCTCCGGATCCCCCCTCCCCGTCCCCCGGCTCTACTGGGGGCTTTTCCCGCTTCCCTTCTTTCTTCCTGGCCCTATGGAGCAGCTACCCCCGGCGCCCGACCATGCCTAGGAAAGCCGGGAATGGGCAGCTCCCCTTACCCGATGGCTGGGAGGAGGCGAGGGATTACGACGGCAAAGTCTTCTACATTGACCACAACAACAAGCAGACCAGCTGGATCGACCCCCGGGACAGGTGGGCGCGGACGGAGGGAGGGGAGGCCCGGAGGGGATGGGGGCAAGGGCAGGCGTGGGGGAGACCCGGCAGCCGCAGGGTGAGCCCGGCTGAGAAGCGGCAGCCGGAGCCCCCGGGTGGGGGTAGGGGGGCAGGAAGGTCTCACCCCGTTATAGAATAGAAGAGACAAAGGGGGGCAGCCCTGTGGCAGGGGATGAGGGTGGGGGTTATGTGGGGTGGAGATGTGTTGGGACTGAGGGGGCTGTCTTGCTCTCACTCAAATTGGAAGCGGACTGAAGAGAAGTGGGAAAGGGAGAGTGCCTTGGAAACTGAGGCAACCCCCCCACAAACAAACGCTGGAAGGGGGGGGGGAGTGGAGAACGAGTGCCTGTTTATCAAGGAAATCAGCCTGATCCTGTTGGCAGTTCAGTATTTATTGTCTCTCATTGATTTGGTTTCACCCCCTTTTTTTTTAAACAGTATCTATTTTGTGATTTTTTTTGTGTGTGAAGCCCACCCTTAATCTTATTAAAAACTAGCTTTCATGCTCTTTACAGTTAATCTGTGCAGCCTGTGTGTGTGTATATATAGTTGTGGTTTTATGAAATCTTTCCTTCATGTAGTCTGATATTGAGAATTGGGGACCCATGGATCCCAAGAAAGAAAGAGATTTAAAGATTGAAAGTAATTAGAATTTACTTGTCTGTCCTCTACAAACTTCTATAACAGTCTTTCCTGAGACGACCCAGAGAAGCAAATGCTAGGCATCCCGCTGACTCCTAAGTGTGGTATACTTGGGTCTGAATCCCTCAGTTTGTGAAAGTGCAGGGCTGTGGCATTTAACTCTCCTTTACTGTGAAAGCTCACATCACGAAACTGCCTGTCTCCTTGCTCCATGAACATGCCTGATATTTGTAACCCAAAATATAGTTTTTATTTCTTTTTGTGAAGAAGCTAAGTCTGCAAGAGCTCTACAGGCCTCATCTATTAAGTAGGCCTCAGCCAGGCTAAATCCTTTCAGTCCCCCACCTAGAGACTGGGATGTTCCCTGCGTTTTTCAGTCCTATATATTTAAACAAGAACCACAAAAGACAAAACTTAGGGGTGGGAGGGAGTAAAACCAACTCTGATCCTGCTAAGGCACCAACTGTCTTATGTAAATCTTTCAGTTTTGGAGAGGCTTTTACTTTATAAGCCACTTTTTAAACCTGAGATCTGTTTTAATTTGTGGCCTAAAAATTTCTGAAATATAGATTATTTACTTTGTGCATAGTGCAAGGTATAGCATTATTATTAAGCCTGTTGTAATCCAATTATCAAAAACTTACAAATGGCATTATAAATTTATGGCACAAACCATGATGAATTATCCATGAAGGTCTTGGTTTATAGTTCCCTGCTGAAGTTAGAAAAGGCAGTTGTGATGAAGCTAGCTAGTGTCAGAGCTTTGCTGCTTGTTAGATGCATAGTGAAAGTTTTGACAAGCATCATACACAGTCAGGCCTTCTTTCCTGATATACATGGTATTGGAATTAACTGTTAACCCTGTTGTTTGACTTCCTTTGCACTTTGAAACAACTTAAATATATTGTAAATGTCAGTGACATGGTGGTGTTCACAGGACAGTGATATTTGTTGGACCTGTTTAAATATTTGGCTTCTGCAGATGTTTTGGTAAATATTTTTGACTTCTGATTGAAAAACTCCCCATTTTAACTATTTTCCTTGAAATTAGTGTTTTCAATTCAGTTTTGTTCTAGATTTGTGTTTACAAAACAGATGACAAGAAAACAGCGTAAAGCAAATAGAAAGTCAAATTATGATTGCGGTTATCTATCTTACTGCCTTCTGAACAAATTAACACTTTAAAACAAAAGAAACATTTGACACTTATTGTGGATTCTATTGTCCTTAAAATGTTCAGCCATATTTATCCTGTATTTGTGTGATTAGTTTCCTAGTACATTTGAGTCTTTAATTACTACAGAGTTGTGTTTTTAGTTTTTGTTTTAAATATGAACTAGGAGAATTACAATTTGTATCTCTCTCATCATGCAGGGATTACTGTAAATTAATTTCTCAAAAAAAAAATCAAGGTGAGAAAGCAAGGATTTGAAACACAATCAAGCTCTGGAGGCTAGATGTATTTTCTTTAATGAGGACTAATGGAGTGAAGTCCTTGTTAAACAGTGTAGGAGACAGTGTTTGGAGTAACTCCATTAACTCTTGTCAATCTTGTTTCTCACTGTTACAAAACAAACAGAAAGAGGTATGTTGCACGAGGCACTTGAGATAATCCATAAAATAGTGGATATGGCTCAACTGAAACTGAATTACCTGCATGAAAAAGAGGCTGATTGTCCATGCACTATAAGATTTTAGTATCTGTACGTGCAATCAATATTTAGATTGCTGTCTAGATTTGGAATAGTAGAAATAACTTTCTTGAAATGCCTGTGAAATTACTTCACTCTGGGCTCTATTATGTTGAAAATATAAGTATATTAGAAAAATGCATGTTGATATACTATACAGGACAGATTAGAAAGCTGTCAGAAGAACTAGAAAGTGAGCCTCCAGGTTTTTGTCAATACAGCAATGTCTGGATTCTTAATGATCTTGGAATGTATCTAAAACTGTCAAGATGAAGTGCCGAGGTACTGTGGTGGTGATGTACTGGGAAGCCTGAGACTGACTTGATCCGAAGAAGTGGGCTGTAGTCCACGAAAGCTTATGCTCTAATAAATTTGTTAGTCTCTAAGGTGCCACAAGTACTCCTGTTCTATTAACACGGCTGCTACTCTGAAACCTGAGACTGACTTGACAACATACTTATATCTATTCAGCTAGGTATTTTCAACTTATGATTTACATCAGGGAACTGAATAAAATGAAACAGTTGCATAATGTACTTGTGGAATACACTAGTACAGGGATTCTCAAATTCTTTCATAACTTTGGCTAAATCTTAATAAGATACTGTCTCATGGGCAGCTTCCTTCCCATTTGCAATTCCATAACAGCCCCGTGGAAATCCCCTTTAACCCCGTGCTTAAAGGTAAAAGCAATATTGGTGAAAAAATGTAATACATTTTTAGTTTCTTTGAACTTTATTTAGCAGATGAGAATAATGGGGGATCCAACATCTTGTGACTAGGCAGCTCTCATCAGCAACTGCTCCCCGGATCACAGTTTGGGAACCTCTTTATTAACAGAGGAAAGACTAGATGTGTGAAGCTTCTTTTGTGTGGAAACTGACCTGGCAATTGAAAATATTGATTATCCTTCAAAGCTTTGGTGAAACTTGCTTGCATAGGAATATATGCAATGTGTGTGTGTGTAAAATATATAGTACCAAATTTGTGCTAAGCACATTAGACACTCCTAGGACAAGATCCCTGCCCACCCCCACCCCCCCACCCCCGACGTTTCCAATTTAAAGCCATGTTGCTGAGTATATGGATCAGGCCTGCTGACATGATTGTACTCTGCACTACAAAAGAAGAAGACTTGGAGTAAATTCATGGACCGGGCCAGCTCAGTTTTGCTCACCTCACTTGTGTGAGTAATCCAGTTGACTTTTTAATGGTGCTCATATTTGTCGGTGAGAATGATTTAGCCCCTGATTTTTGTACTCTCTAAGTCCATGCATACTGGAAGTGCTGTAGAGGTACTGTAATACACTCAGCTGCTAAGGGTTTTGGAGTGCTTTGCATTGCTTGGCAGCGACCCCTCCAAACACTTCAGGAGCTGTGTTGACTTGGCTAGAGGAGACTGGTGGCTAAAAAGCAGGACCTCTAAGGTATGGAGTGTAAAGAGAAGCAAAACTGAGCTGAATTCAAACAGGAATGCAAAGAGCCTGGAAATATTTTTATTATTTAAATCTACAGACTTGACTCCCTTGCCTATTCTGCTGCTGCTTTTCTAAGCTACAGCAGACTGAAAACTGACCAGTTTTGTCAGTTCCACTGCTGCTATTTAGAACCAATTAGACAACAGTGAAATAAACACAACCCATGTCAGTTTCACTCTGCCTCAGCTTGGAAAGATATGAAAAGCTGCAGAGACCAGCTGTTGACTGGGGAGGAAGACCAAAGTAATAGGTGGGAGAGGGATAGAAGAACACACATTTCCCTCCTAGTCCCTTTGTATTCGTTAAGAGGCTGAGGCAAGGGCAGAGTTGAATAGCCTAGAGTAGAAGAGAAGGAAACAGTGAAAATATGCTTCTGTTCTGCAGCAGCCAACAGATGTTGGAAGGGTTTCACATTTATTAGACACTTCATTGGCGGCTAGCATGAATGGTGGAGCTGCAAGGAGGGTGTAGAGACAGCAGCTAAATAGGAATCTCAGCTCCCTCCAGTTTCCAGAAGTTGGATGGTTCTGGATTTCTCACCAGGGCAGTGGGTCTCCTTGTGTTTTGTGTTGGTTTCTGGGCAGTTAAGTGTCAGGTAAATTTTGCATGCCCTTGTAGTGACTGCCAGTCACCTTTAACAGATATCCTTCTAGTCATTTGCATAAAATGAGTTCCATATAATAAAATCTGCTATCATAATTGGCTCTGATAGACACACTTATTAAGAATTTCAGGGAATGAGTTAGCATCGGGGTTGAACTGCCCCTCCTCTTCTTTGCCTTTTGTAGAGTTGGTGAAATGTATCTCTAGAGAATTTATAGATTACTTTATCAAAGCAGTGATAGATTTATCGTGTTTTGGTGTTTGCCTAGTAGAGACTGCTCTAGAAATACCCTGTCTGCATAACCAAAACAAGGGTTTGAAAAATTTACCAGACAGCTAGTAGCTAAACCTGCTAGTTAGAGGTAGGTGTGAAATACAGTTATCTTGTGAACCACTGAAGTGGAGAAGAAGCCCAGTTCTCCTTGCTTCTTCCAGCTTCTAGGATGGAGAGGGTACTGGGATTTTTACTGGGGATCCCCACATCCATCAATGGTGCCATTTTGGTGTTCTGGCTAGGAGACACTGTGGACATTAAAAGCTCTATTCCTTCTCCATATGGAAGGGA